TGTAATTTTTCTAATAGGTATTCTTTGGTCACCATTCTTGCTGAGATCATTTTCTTAATTCTATGAAAAATTTTGTTGCTTTTGTAATTTTTTTTTTTTTGGTACTGGGGATTGAGCTTTTATAATTTTTCTAATAGGTACTGCACATTCTTTGGTCACCATTCTTGTTGAGATAATTTTCATAATTCTAAATTTTCCTGCTTTTCACTTAAGATTTCATCTTGTAAGTTGTGGTTCATTCATACTTTGCTGATACCAGTAAGAGTAAGGATAGCAAGACTGGTGTCTGCTGTTGATGAATTGTCAGGATTTGTGCACTGTGATCCTATTGCTGAGAAATAGATAGCTTCTTTTCTTACAGTTAACTCCTTCATGTTTCCAAGTTACTACTCTCCTACCTTAAACATTATTTCATAAGTTATACTAGTCTTTCAATATTACTTGATTTGAATCAGTGAGTAGATAGGTAATAATCTAATTTTTGTACATTCTCTTTAGTATCTGTATATCTCCATCTATCCATCCATAGTCTCAAATATTAAACAGCATATTCTAGAATACATTTCACTGATCCCTGTAGATCTGCTATATTTTTAGGTCCAAAAGAGTCACCCAGCTATTCTTAATTTTTAGTCTTTTTGTCTCTATCTCCCTGAATTTTTAGCTATCTAGTATGTTTAACTTTTTAAAACTATGAAGTCTTTACATGAAGCAAAAGGTATGCATCCTATCTGTGCATGTATACAATCAGTGTAATTGATTGCCATAAAGGTATACAGCATATCCACCATCACTACAAAAATTTCCTTGGTTTGCCTATTCAGTTATTAATTTACGTGAGAGACAGCGCAGTTATAGTTTGTGCCAGTATATTTATAATTCTGTTTTTAATGTGTCTGGCTTCTTTCACTAAATAATGTTTTAAAATCTATGTAAGTAGTTAGTTTCCTTTCTATTGCAGCACATGATACCTTTTAAGAATATATCACACCTTCCTTATCAGTAGAATTTATTTAGATATATGCCCAGATCACAGACCCTACCTTATTAAAAGAATTTATTTCCAGTGTCTTTTATGTAATCTTTAAAAAAAATGGGAATAATCTTTAAAGATTAATTTTGAATCTTTGGTTCTGGTGATTTTTAGTTTAATTTTTTTTTTCTTTTGGAACTGGGGATTGAGCTCGGGACCTTGCGCTTGTGAGGCAGGCAGTGGAACCACTGAGCTAAATCTCTGGCCCTGGTTCTGGTAATTTTTAATATTAATAATATTAACTTTTTGATTGGCCAAAAATGTTAATATAATTCTTTATTTTATCAGTTATAAGACATAGTTGTCTGCATTTTAATATATATGATTTTGTTATGTATTTTATAAATGATGGTACTTTTAAAATTGCTGTCAGCCAGGTATCTTAGTGGTATGAACATCTTTTGTTGAGACTTCTGTTAAGATCAGAAAAGTAAGTAACAGCATCAAAATGTGTTTGATTTGATAAAATATACTTTAAAAACTTTCAAAAATTACACACTTGTAATCCCAGCACTCAGGAGGCTGAGGGAGGAGGATCTCTGCAGTTTGAGGCCACCTTTGCCTACATAGTAAGTTCAAGGGCAGCCTGAACTACCTAGAGACCCTGTCTCAAAAAACCCAAAAAAGCGAAAAGAAAAAAACAGCTTAAAAATTTGTTTTGCACAACTTGTGAATTTGTTAGTATGCTCTTTTTATCTGTTAAATCTGAGACATGAGCTTTAAGAAGATATATAGTTTTATTAATATTCATGAAAATATTCATGTTAATTTATTAAATTAATCAGAATTTTATATTTGGTCTCACAGGAACTGCATTTAAACTAGGTCAATACATGCCCAACAGGCTCTGTATTAAAACTAGAAAAACTTCTCATTCACATTTGACACTAGTCAGACGTGCGTGGTATTTTCTTGTGTAATCTGATGTATTTATGTACCACCTCAGTGCCTCACTCGTGGCTTTTCTTTAAATAATGTTATAAATCTTACTTGTTAACAAAGTGTTCCTGTCTTTGACGTTACATTTAAAATTATTTTCTGTTTGTGTTTGCTTTTATTTTTATGTTAAATCGCCAGACTAATCCTTTCATGTTAAAAAGTGAAGTAAACTCTTAAGATTTTAGTTTTATGCTATACATTAAAAATTTATCTGAAAATTTCAAACAGAAGAACTGGATATATCAGGATTGATTAAAGAAAGAAGAAAGAGTAAGATCAGTGGCCTTTCTGTGTATTGTTGTTTACCAGACTGCCATTGGGAACGTCTAGGTAGTCTTTTTTCATCACTTTTTGATCATCTGACATTTCAGTTATCTTTTTTCAGTCCAATAATTAAATAGTAATTTTCAGAGGTAAAGGGAAGAAAATCTTAGCGTTTATAAATCATTTTGTGAAAGAGCCCTTTAAAATCTCTCCACTCAGAGTTAACACTTCAAGGGCATGGTTTTATATTTGTTTTATTCCTTAAGAATCTAAGGAATCTAGTTGGTTGTGTTTTATATTGCCTTGCTGTACTGCATGCACTTGGGCAGTACACGTGTCCATGTTTAACAGTGTTTCCTTCCCCGCAGATGGATTAGCGGCACTGTCCTTCTCCATCAGTTCTCTGACCTTGATCGGGATGTTGGCGGCTATAACTTACACCGTAAGTGTAATGGTGATAATCGAGGTTAAAAATTAAAGAATCAGTTTATAAAGCAACCTTTTTACCTTAATAGTCTACTTAACCTAATTCTATTTTCCTCTTTAAAATGTCTTAGTTCTTTGTCAATTTTCCTTCAGTTGTGTTTACTTTAGAGGCTGGAAAAGTTTTAAGCACTTAGTTACAATCATTTTATCTGTATTTGTGAAATTTAATATCCAAAAACAAATTTTATGATTTGTGAACCTTGTGGTGGATATAAGATGGATATATATATTGTATGATGATAGATTTTGAGGTCTAAGCAACCAGAACTCTGGACAATAAATAAATATCTGTTACCAAGTCAGTAGGTTTATCTTACTTGGAGATGTTAGAAATGAACCCCAGATTTAAATTGTTTGTGCTGGGAAGAAAGAATACACCCAGTCAGCAAGCAGGAGGACTAGAAGAGGAAGAGTTTAAAGTTTACTTCTGCAGAAGGGCGCCAGTGCGCTCAGACAATTGGCAGCCGGCTCAGTGAGCAGCGGGAAGCCGGATTTTCAAGCCTTCATGATGGGAAGCAGCTGTCCTTTAAATTCATTGGCTGAATTCAAAGCCTTACACTCTATCCCATTGGCCAGTTTAAGCTGAAGGGTTAAAGAAGGTTGCTGAGGCAAAGGAAGAGCCGAAGGGGAGCGGGTGTGGGGAACAGACAGTCCTTTCTCTTGATAAGCTTTCCTTGGTTTACAGCTGTGTTCTGAGTTTAAACTGAGCAGGCGATTCTCAAGATTCTAGTGTGAGGGCTGGGGAAGGGCCACACAGGAGGTTCAGAGTCTAAGATGGAGGCACTCTACCCCCTTTGATAGAAAAGACAGGACTGCAGTTTCTCACAGAGATAAAGCGTTTTTAAAATCAGGCATTTTATTTCCTAGCTTGATGTGTTTCTAGTATACACAATCTAATATTCTCCCACATTAGTTTTTGTACTTTTCCAGTTTTTCTGGAAGTGGCAAGGTGTGAATTATAAATTATGACAAACTTACAAGTGCTCTCTGTGAGACTTTTGCTGAAATTACAGAGGGAAAAAAAACCTGATAAATACTTCTTCATTATCCTCCAGAGTTGTACAAAAAAATTATCTGGAACATTTTCCAATTAATGAAGTTTATATTTAGAGCAGTCTGGATTTTTGCAAATAAGAGAAATAACTTTATAAGGAAGACATTTTTGGCTATTGTTTCAATGTACCTTCCTTTAGGATCATTGGCATAAGAACAGAATCTAGTTTTGTTCATAGTCATTCATGTGTCATAATGCATACTAGAAGAAGCCTCAAACATGTACATTTTAATATGTTTCAGGTGCTTATGAGTAGTGTTTTATTGGTCGTTGCTGTTTTGCTATAAGGAGTTTGCCGTCTAATATTAGCGGTGATTATCCTACCATCACAGAGAATACATGTACAGCATAGTAGTGTTCACTTTTCAGGAAGCACTGAGGTGTCAGACACAAATTAAGCGCTAGACCTGGAACTCTAGTGGCCATTCTGTGGCTCATGTGACTGATTTGTTATGCTGATATTGGCTTTGTCTTTTAACCTTCCTGGGTCAGTATCTTTCTAATTAAATAGGAATAGAAAGTGCTTTTTAGGAATTTTTGAAGGTCAGGAGATAGTGTTTATAAAAGTGCTTTGATAAATATAGGGATATGAGATAACAGTGGATGAAAGATTAGTCAGGAGAAACAAACAGAAAAAGAGAAAACCAATATATAATGGCATTGCCAAGAGTGATGAATGTCTGGGATTTTACCTCCTTGTAGTTCGCCACAGTTATATGGGTTGTGGCTGAAGGTGATGGGCTGCTGTGTCTGAGTACCGTGTCAGGTACCATTGCTGAGTCCTGGTTCCCTGGGAACTAAGTAGAAGCTGAGCAGCCCGCACCTCGCAAAGAGCACCTCTGAGCTCAGAGAAGCCGTGTTTCAGGTTGACAGCAGGCATGGCTGCCCTGTGCTCTAGGGGGAGACGCTCTCCCCATCTTCCCAGGCTATTGGCTTTAGAGACCTCCTTAAAAAGAGTACAGAAAGGAAGGCCGGTAGTGCCAGGGTTACAAAATGTGTGGGAGTGAAACCCATGGAAAATTGTCTCCCAGAGGTCAGTGGTAAATACCGTGAAACAAAATAAGGCAGCACAGGGGACAGACAGCAGTGGAGATTGATGCTGGGGTTGGATCGGGGTGGCTGCCTTGACATCCAAAGAGTCCTGAACAACAGAAGGAAAGCCAGGACAGAGTCCCAAGGTGGGCATTTTGTGCTGTATTCAGATAATATCAAGGATGGAGCTCAGTTAACAAGGGAAAAGAAGGAAAAGTTTTCATGTGAGTTAGTGAGTTCGTGTGGTCATGTTCTGTGGAGCCTTAAAGCCTCTGACTAGAATTTGAGCTTTTGTTCTGACAGATTAGAAGCCATTGGAAGGTTTTGAATGAAAAAATAATGAGATCTCACTTTTAAAGATATTACCTGACAGCTCTGAATTACAAGCTATTGAGATGGGGAATGGGAATGGAAAAAAATCAGTGAGATATCTGTTACCGAGTCAGTAGGTTTATCTTACTTGGAGATGTTAGAAATGAACCCCAGATTTAAATTGTTTGTGCTGGGAAGAAAGAATACACCCAGTCAGCAAGCAGGAGGACTAGAAGAGGAAGAGTTTAAAGTTTACTTCTGCAGAAGGGCGCCAGTGCGCTCAGACAAGAGGCAGCCGGCACAGTGAGCAGCGGGAAGCCGGATTTTCAAGCCTTCATGATGGGAAGCAGCTGTCCTTTAAATTCATTGGCTGAATTCAAAGCCTTACACTCTATCCCATTGGCCAGTTTAAGCTGAAGGGTTAAAGCAGGTTGCTGAGGCAAAGGAAGAGCCAAAGGGGAGTGGGTGTGGGGAACAGACAGTCCTTTCTCTTGATAAGCTGTCCTTGGTTTGCAGCTGTGTTCTGAGTTTAAACTGAGCAGGCGATTCTCGAGATTCTATTGTGAGGGGTGGGGAAGGGCCACACAGGAGGTTCAGAGTCTAAGATGGAGGCACTCTACCCCCTTTGATAGAAAAGACAGGGCTGCAGTTTCTCAGAGATTAAAGGGTTTTTAAAATCAGGCATTTTATTTCCTAGCTTGATGTGTTTCTAGTATACACAATCTAATATTCTCCCACATTAGTTTTTGTACTTTTTCCAGTTTTTCTGGAAGTGGCAAGGTGTGAATTATAAATTATGACAAACTTACAAGTGCTCTCTGTGAGACTTTTGCTGAAATTACAGAGGATAAAAACCCTGACAAATACTTCTTCATTATCCTCCAGAGTTGTACAAAAAAATTATCTGGAACATTTTCCGATTAATGAAGTTTATATTTAGAGCAATCTGGATTTTTGCAAGTAAGAGAAATAACTTTATAAGGAAGACATTTTTGGCTATTGTTTCAATACACCTTCCTTTAGGATCATTGGCATAAGAACAGAATCTAGTTTTGTTCATAGTCATTCATGTGTCATAATGCATATTAGAAGAAGCCTCAAACATGTACATTTTAATATGTTTCAGGTGCTTATGAGTAGTGTTTTATTGGTCAATGCTGTTTTGCTGTATGGAGTTTACCGTCTAATATTAGCGGTGATTATCCTACCATCACAGAGAATACATGTATAGCATAGTAGTGTTCACCTTTCAGGAAGCACTGAGGTGTCAGACACAAATTAAGAGCTAGACCTGGAACTCTAGTGGCCATTCTGTGGCTCATGTGACTGATTTGTTATGCTGATGTTGACTTTGTCTTTTAACCTTCCTGGGTCAGTATCTTTCTAATTAAATAGGAATAGAAAATGCTTTTTAGGAATTTTTGAAGGTCAGGAGATAGTGTTTATAAAAGTGCTTTGATAACTATAGGGATATGAGATAACAGTGGATGAAAGATTAGTCAGGAGAAACAAACAGAAAAAGAGAAAACCAATATATAATGGCATTGCCAAGAGTGATGAATGTCTGAGATTTTACCTCCTTGTAGTTCGCCATAGTTATGTGGGTTGTGGCTGAAGGTGATGGGCTGCTGTGTCTGAGTACCGTGTCAGGTACCAGTGCTGAGTCCTGGTTCCCTGGGAACTAAGAAGCTGAGCAGCCCGCACCTCACAAAGAGCACCTCTGAGCTCAGAGAAGCCGTGTTTCAGGTTGACAGCAGGCATGGCTGCCCTGTGCTCTGGGGGGAGACACTCTCCCCATCTTCCCAGGCTATTGGCTTTAGAGACCTCCTTAAAAAGAGTACAGAAAGGAAGGCCGATAGTGCCAGGGTTACAAAATGTGTGGGAGTGAAACCCATGGAAAATTGTCTCCCAGAGGTGAGTGGTAAATACTGTGAAACAAAATAAGGCAGCACAGGGGACAGACAGCAGTGGAGATTGATGCTGGGGTTGGATCGGGGTGGCTGCCTTTACATCCAAAGAGTCCTGAACAACAGAGGGAAAGCCAGGACAGAGTCCCAAGGTGGGCATTTTGTGCTGTATTCAGATAATATCAAGGATGGAGCTCAGTTAACAAGGAAAAAGAAGGAAAAGTTTTCATGTGAGTTAGTGAGTTCGTGTGGTCATGTTCTGTGGAACCTTAAAGCCTCTGACTAGAATTTGAGCTTTTGTTCTGACAGATTAGAAGCCATTGGAAGGTTTTGAATGAAAAAATAATGAGATCTCACTTTTAAAGATA